ACATTGACTCTAGCAAGAGCTCCTGGTAATGGAAGATATGGAGCCTGAAACAATTAACTTCTGTAGCAGGCACGGCTCCTAGTGGTGGGACTGGTACACCAACCCAGCCACAGAACTTATGACTGTGACCTGACCTGCCTGCAAGGTGTGGTAGGGGAAAGGAGGCTCAGAGCATGTGGGAGAGGTTGACCAATGACTGGTCTAACCTGAAGATCAGTGCCTACGCAAATCATGATCAGAGAGGCTTCCTCCAGCAGCTGATGGCAGCTAATACAGAGACTCAAACATTAGGTGGAGCTCAGGGAACTCTGCAGAAGAGAAGGAAGGAGTGTGGGAATCTGAGAGGTCGAGCACACCAGGAGAACATGGCCCACAGAATCAGCTAAGCAGGGGTCACAGGGGTTCTCACAGACTGAAGCAGCAGCCATGGAGCCTGCCTGGGTCTGCACCATGTCCTCTGCATTCATGCTGTGGTTCTTTAGCTTAGGGATTTTTTTGGACTCCTAACTGTAGGAGTGGGGGTGTCTCTGACTCTCTTTACTGCTCATGGAACCTATTTCCTCCTACTGGGTCACCTTGTCCAGCCTTGATATGAGGGTATGTGTCTAAGCACATTGCATCTTAATATGTCGAGTATGGTTAATATCACGAGGAGGGAGGCTCTTTTCTGAAAGAAAATGGAAGAGCACTGGATCTGGGGGAGAAGGGAGGTGGGGAGAATTGGGAGGTGAAGAGGGAGGGGAGGCTGCAGTCAGGATATATTGTATGAGAGGATAATAAATTGAAAAAGAAGTGAACAAGGAGGTTATATGAAAGAATTTTGATAGAACAAATGAAAGGGAGAAATGATGCAACTATATTATAATCTCAAAAATTTAAAAATAAAATGAAAAAGTAGATCATATACCAAAATGCATCAATAATTTAAAGAGTAATCAAAGACCATATTAAATTAAATTTGAACCCTGAAGCTCTTCTGAACTAGAAAATTCACTGAGTGTTGAGAGCTCAGTGAGCTGTTCTCTAGCTTGGAAGATAAAATCTTGAAAATAGTGCAGACACTGGAACTATGACTTGGGCAAATTCATATAGAAGCAAAAATTCTATAAGGTCATTTGTGTGAAGAATCTGTGGTGTCTGGTCAGCTGGAACTGAAGAATCACCTATGGCTAACCACAGACCAGAACCAATGAAAATAAAGTGAAAACTTGGCATTGCACCAGTTGTTGTGCACAAACTCGTGGGATTTACTTAAAGAAGTGGAGGAAGCCAGATCATGAGTTCAAGGTCAGTCTAGGTACATATTCAAGCTTGGCAGTGGTGGTAAATGCCTTTAATCCTGGTACTTGGGAATCAGATGCATAGGTGTCTCTGAGTTTGGGTTTAGCCTGGTCTACAAAGTGAGTCCCATGATGCCAAGGGCTAAAAGGAGAAACCCTGCCTTGAAAAAAGTCTTTGCATTGCTGGTACAATGGATGCTGGTCAGATGGGGCTGAAGAATCAGCTATGATTAAGAAGAGACCAGCATCATTGAGGTGATGTCTTCAAGCAAGTGTATCCTGAGAATTAGTATACAGAAGCTCTGTTCCATAGGCAGCCAAGGTTGGAATGCATACTAGCAGCTGACCTTGGAAATATACTTGTCACTCAGGTAGTTCTGGTATTGAAGGCATGAGGGTCATAGAGAGTGACTGGGATTTATCATTGTGTAGCAGAGTCCCTGTCACTGGCCCAACATTACCATCCATGTGCTGTCTAGTTTACTTTTACCTTGACAAAAGCTGTCAGGAAAATGGGAATCTTATTTGAAAATGTCACCATAAGATCTTGCTGTAGGCCAGATAGTGGTGGAGCATGCCTTTAATACCAGCAATTGGGAGGCAGAGACAGGTGGATCTCTGTGAGTTTGAGGCCAGCCTGGCCTACAGAGTGAGTTCCAGGGAACACACCAAAACTACACGGAGAAACTCTGTCTCAAAAAAAAATTAAAAAAATTTGGTGTAGGAAGTCCATGGGGCATTTTCTTAATTATTCATTGATCGGGGAGTACCCAGTCTATTGTGTATGGTGCCACCCCATTTCTGGTGGTCCTAGGTTCTTTAAGAATGTGACTATGCAACTCATGGGGAATAAGCCAGTAAGCAGTACTATTCTATGGCCTCTGTATCAGCTGAGCAAACTATGGCATATGTAATAATATTGAAAATGTTTTCAAAAAATTGTATAAATCAATTGACAATATTTCACATTGATCTAATGACAAAAATGAACTACTCAATATCATCACATAAAGGTTTCTTAATATATAATGGTTTTCAAATTTATACACATCACATTATATATATGTCCACATATATATTTGGAAAATCCATTCATGTGACTGGAGAGTTAAATTGCAGCAGATATAGTAAATCAATATCATTGCTAAATTCTGATCAGATTATGTGAGAGAATTCCATTCCTCATGCCCATGGTTTCACTATAATATCATTTTCCGTGTGGAAATGATCCATGGGTGATACTGCACTTTTTGAGCAAGTCTCATATTCTTCCCTAAAAATTGTTACTTTTTTAACACATATTGCCGAATTTCAAACATGTTTTATTTCAGGATATCCAGAAGAATACCAATGGAAATTATGGGCTATTTTGTTTGGTTGGTTTGGTTTTTCTAATATATGGCAATAAACACATGGACCCTCACAGGAAAAGTACTGTCAGGATAACATATTATTCAAATTAGATAGATGCATATCTGGAGGACATTATTTGTGGAATTAACTATGTATATGTGTAAGATGCCAATTCTTAGGAATCAACATAGAAAATCTGCTAGAACATCTTGTTCATTTCTTAAAGATAATAATTAAATGAAATTTCCATGACTTTACAAAATTAATTCATCTACTATTTGTGATGAAAGTTATTATTGGACACTCTAAATATTAAATATTCTGTGCACTCACCCTTCAGGTTTCTGGTTGACTGTCAATACCCACAACATGAATGTGATCCA